AGCAGTTACTTGAACTTTTTGAGCTTAGGACTTTGGGCTTGCAGAAGCACACACACTTGCTGCCAGAGGGACAGAAGGATGCTATGCTGTGAGTGGAGGTGGGGAGGGTCTCACCAGCCAGATAATTCAACCAGTGGGCTCAGTCCTGGGGTGTATGTATGTCTGGGTGTTGGCAGGGCGTTCAATTAGCTAATATTACAACTGGGGTGTGTAGCAGTTACTTGAACTTTTAGCACTTAGGGATTTTAGCTCCAGCTCACTCGCTCACTGCTAGGGGGGCACTATGATACAGAGAGCTGACCAGCAGGGACTGTCTTTAGCAGAGGGAGGTCAATCAGGGACATCCACCTGCTGAGGGGTATGTCAGGTGCTTGAGCAGCCGTGGGGGCCAGGTGTGGAGTTCAGTTAAGTCTTTCAAGTCCACATGAGATGTGTAGAATTGTGGTGGTTAGGTTTCTCCCTCTTTTCTTTCCCCCTTACATTCTACCATTCCCACTGTCCCTGGACTTCAGTGGTGCTTGGATCACTTATCTATTGGGTTATCTCTTGGAAATGTGCCAACAGACTGCTCTCTCTTAGCTAGTGATTTTCTCGTGCTTCCTGGAGAGGCTCACACTTTGTGTGGGACACAGGCCATTTTGACCATATTTCGTATGTCCATTCATCTGCTGATGGACACTTGGTGTTTTCTACCTTTTTGCTGTTATGAATAATGTTGGAGTGAACATTGGTGTACAAGTATCTGTTTAAACCCCGATGAGCCCTGGTGGGGTGGCAAGTTACTACAATGGTGGCACTGGGAATTCATCAGTCCTCGGAGGAGAAGGACGAGGTCTTCTACTCCCATAGGATCTAGAGCCTTGGGAACCTGAAGGGCACTTCTTTTCTGTCCAGTAGGGTTGCGTTGAGTCAAAACTGACTTGATGGCAGTGAGTTTAGTTTTTGGTGTAATATACCTGTCCCTAGGAGGGGACTTCCTAGGTCATAATGATAGCTCTACGTGTAACTTCTTGAGGAACTGCCACATTGTTTTCCATATTAGCTGTGCCACTTTAAATTCCCACCCTCTGTGGGCAAGTGCCCTATTTTCTCCATGTCTTCATTAGCGCTTTGCAGATGCGTCAAGACATTGTAAAATGGTAGTAGGATGTCTGTCAGAACCTCATGAGAGGCAATGACCATGATCAGCCCAAAGCTGAGTCCCATGAAGTAGAGGTCAGACTTACTGTTATTTTAAAATTCCATTTGCCTGTGAATTCTTGAAGTCCAGTCACATAGTCCAATTTCTTGTCAATTTCACAGTGTGACTTTCTCCCCGGGGTTAGAACTGTCCAACCTTGGTAAGTTCCTGTCATCTTATTTGCACAGTAGTCATAGCAAATTTTTTTGTACAGTTAAGTATAACAATCAATCCCTGAGAGGATGTGAAATCAATTGCCCACAGGGCTTGTGTAGGCAAAGATCAGACAAAACAATATCAAATAAAAAGTTGTTTACAGCTGACCCAGGAAATGTCAATCAACCTGGACAAAGTAACAAAGCATGTGGGGTAGAAAAGTCTGGCAAAGGTAACTCCTTAGGGCTTAATGGAAAAAATCTCTCCATCTGTTTTTCCAAAAGAGCCAAGGCAAAAATCCACATAAAGGAGCATATATCACATACATGTAGTAGAAAAAATGGCCTGATCATCTACTTCCAAATATTAAGGGGGGAAAACTCTATGGAGCACCACAGT